CCATAGGTAATTCAAAACTATCATTCTATATAAATCGGTATCATTATGTCTTGAGAACCTTACTGAAAAATAATATTTGCAGACTTCTGATTTGCCGTAGATTGCTCTGAATGCAAAAATAATACAGCAGCATTTGTTCTCATGTGAGATTTTCACAATGTTTAGGAGGGAAATATGTTAGACCTCTGTAGGATCAATGTTATAAAAATTAAATGTCTAATGGGCTCTGGGATTTACAAATGAGATTCTGGCTTAAGACCTAAGTAGTATGGGATCCAGACTGCATCTTCTGGGAAAGAAAGGACGAAAAGGAAATTAGAAATCTAACCATTTCTCAGCAGGTTGAGCTAAATATTCTACCATGCATATATGCATGGCAGCCTCAGCTACTTTCTCTTATACTAATCCCAGCCCAGTTGTAGAGGGCACCTTTAATGAAAGTGATCACTCTAGGCAATGAAGAATAAACTTTGATGAGGACATGTTAACTATCATGGTCATTGGAAATATTGGAATTTGTAGGAAATATCCAGGGAGAAGTATTAAGATGGGGAAGGATATAGAATATTTCAATTGAGAGAATCTGTATAATAAATGCAGCTGTAAAGTTGTCTGGACTTAAAAATAGGCAAGAGGAGAAACTGTAAGTAGGGTGTAGCTGGCCTTGGCTTTGGGGATAAGAGCTATCCCTGAAAACTCTGTGGCAACCCAGCCTTTAGCACATAGCCTGTGTAAGACAGGTACTTCATAAATACATGTTGAACGAATGCATGAGGAAGTCTGGGAGTCAAAATTGCATTAGAGAGGCATTTTAAAAATTAGCAGAGGGAGGCTGAGGTGGAAGGATTGCCTGAGCCCAAGAGTTTGAGACCAGCCTGGGCAACAAACCAAGACCCCCATTTCTACAATGAATACAAAAAATTAGCCAGGCATGGTGATACTCACCTGTAATCCAGCTACTGAGGAGGCTGAGGTGGGAGGATCACTTCAGCCCAAGAGGTAGAGGTTGCAGTGAGCCATGATTGCAACACTGCACTTCAGCCTGGGAGACAGAGTGAGACCCTGTCTCAAAAACAACAACAACAACAAAAAAATAGACTATTTGTGAGCAGTTTTATGTTTACAGAAAAACTAAACAGAAAGTACAGAGTTGTCATACACTCTCCCCTGCACACAGTTTCCTTATTATTTACATTATGTATTCATCTAGTACCTTTGTTATAATTGAGCCAATATTGATATGTTGTGATTAACTGAAGTCCGTAGTTTCCATTAGGGTTCTATGGGTTTGGACAAAGGTATAATAGCATAGATCCACCATTACAGGATCATACAGAGTAGTTTCACTGTCATAAAAATCTGCTGTGCTTCGCCTCTTCATCCCTCCTTTCTCTGAAGCCCATGGCAAGGACTGATCTGTTTATGGTCTCTATAGCTGTGCCTTTCCCAGAATGTCCTATAGCTGGGATCATACAGTGTGTAGCCTTTTCAGATTGACTCTTTGCACTTAGAAATGTCTATTTATGGCCGGGCACGGTAGCTCACGCCTGTAATCCCAGCACTTTGGGAGGCTGAGGCGGGTGGATCACGAGGTCAAGAGATCGAGACCATCCTGGTCAACATGGTGAAACCCCGTCTCTACTAAAAATACAAAAATTAGCTGGGCATGGTGGCACATGCCTGTAGTCCCAGCTACTTGGGAGGCTGAGGCAGGAGAATTGCTTGAACCCAGGAGGCAGAGGTTGCGGTGAGCCAAGACCGCGCCATTGCCTGGGTAACAAGTGAAACTCCGTCTCAAAAGAAAAAAAAAAAAGAAATGTCTATTTATTATCCCTCCATGATTTTCATGCCTTTATAGCTCATTTTGTTTTAGCTCTGAATAATATTTCATTGTCTGGAGGTACCATACTTTACTTATCCATTCAACTGCTGAAGGGCAGCTTTGTTGCATCCAAGGTTTTGGCAATTATAAATAGACATGGTATAAATATTTGTGTGTGGGTTTTTGTGTGCACATGAATTATCATGGGAGATGCATTTTTATAGGAAATTTCTTCGCAGCATTTTCTTTGCGTGAAGATACTTCTACATATAGAAAGATGAATTTTGTTTCAAAGGAAGGCGAATGGTCTCATGCCCTTCACCAAATACTAACTACAATATATGGAAGCAAATTCCTAAGCCCTCTGCCACCTGCCTAATATGTGTTATTTTACACAGAGGTTGTTATATGAGCAAAAGGGGACATTTTTCTTTCAATGTATAAACAGGGGTTATAGCGCCTTATTGCTCCCTTCTATTTCAACTCATTAAGCTAATTACCATTTTCAAAGTAATTAGGCTTAAATTAGTGTCTCAGCCAAACAACCCCAAGCCTGAGTGCACAGGTGGTTTGCTTAGCTGCACCAGATAACACCACAATAAATGTCTGCCTGATCATGATTTATCATGGGAGACAAATTGCTAAAATGGCCCTCGGGTGTCTTATTCCTTGGTTCTGAGTATGACATTTACGTATATGGTGTGGGTTCTGGGAATGTTTATCATTTGAGTTAAAAATTGAGAAAGATTGAACATACTCTAGCCCATGGCACTTGCAATCAAATAGCAAAAATATGCCTTGCCACAAATGACTTGGGTGTTGTTTTTGCATCAGAAATCATCTCTGCCACCTCCGTGGGCAGCTTAGTCTGCATTCCTTCTCCTTATCCTTTTCTGGACCAAGTAGGTGTGAGTGCAACCTTGAGTGAAGGATCTGGCTTTACAGGGTGTGATTTACCTGCTGGGTAGGATGTATTCCAAAATCTATATTCAATTATTTCTACCACACAGGATGCCTGGTGCCATTGTAGAATATCAGTTGTGGACATCTTAGTGTGACTGAGAGCCCACCCAAAATTTGATTTCCATGTTGAGACCAGTGACAGCACCCACACACTAAGAAGACATGAAAAGGTTTACTACTCATATAATATGGCTTTCTGAGGAGAGCAGGTGATACGGTTTGGCTGTGTTCCCACTCAAATCTCATCTTGAATTGTAGCACCAATAATTCCCTTGTTGTGGGAGGGACCCGGAGGGAGATCATTGAATCATGGGGGCAATTTCCCCTACTGTTTTCATGGTAGTGAATAGATTTCATGAGATCTGATGGTTTTATGAGGGGTTTCCCTTCTTGCTTGGCTGGTTCCCTCTCTTGCCTGCCGCCATGATTGTGAGACCTTCCCAGCCACATGAAACTGTGAGTCAATTAAACCTCTTTTTCTTTATAAATTACCCAGTCTCATGTTTGTCTTTATCAGCAATATGAGAACAGACTAATACAGCAGGGTACTAAACCAGTACAAAAAATAGCTTGAGAGAGTATGGAAAAGAAACAGATTCTGCTTTTATGGTGACTAGGAGTTGGAGCTGGGAAAAGGATCTCTTGCATGCAGACAGGGGCTTGCATAGTTCCAACCTCCCACTGGCAGTGAATGAGGGAGCACCCAGGATTTCTTATCAGCCAGCATGGCACAAACAGAAGAGAGAGAGATGAGGCTTAGAAACTCGTAGCACCCAAACATTACGAAATGGAGTCAGGATCTAATTTATCAACTGAAGCCTAGCAGTATGCACTGACTTATGAAATTCAATAAGCAGCATGTCACTATTGTAGAGTCCTGTGGAAATTGTACGTTGTATACCTCAAGTTTGTCCATTGTTGTCTTCTGATTTGAGAGCTGGATGATAACTTCCCAATCAGAAAGTCTGTGTTTCCACTCCTTCAAACTTCAACTTTCCTCTGTTTTTCTAGTGGAAAATTATAAGCATATGCAGAAATGGAGTAGTAAAATTGAACCTCCATATGCCCTTCACCCATATTTAACAATTATTAACTCCTGACTAATCTTGTTGAATCTATATCTCATACTCATTTCTTCTCCTCCTGCATTCTTTTGAAGAAGACAGCAGCTATCATCTTCTTCACCACCTCCATTTCATCCACGGGTATTTCAGGATGTATCTTCATAAGATTTTTTTTTTCTCTAGTGTACTTTTTACTCCTCTGTGAGTCTCACTTAGTCTATCTACTCACCTGTTTAGGATTTGAGCATTTTTAGTTTTAAATCAGATTTTAATTCTTATTTTCTGGTTCTCCTACTTGAGTAAGTTGCCCCTTTACAGCATTGTTGTTGCTCTTACCCCTAAAATGAAGCCAGTACTGTTTACTGATAGGGTTCAGTGTGGTCTAAACAAGAGAATATGTAACAACATATTCTACATATTGACAGTGCTCAACAGATGGTCACAAATATTGTTACTGTTATTGCTACTATTATTTTTTGAGGGGTTATCTGGAGGTGGAATACAATGTTAGTTTTGGAGAAAGAAGGTGAGGACAAGAGGAATGTTGATATTTGTGATGGACAGTTTGGACTTGGGGAATAACTCCTGACTATTCCTCTATCAATGAGGAATATTGAGATTCATGTGAGGGACAGTTTAGACTTGGGTATCTACCATAAGTATTAAAAGAGGATATTCATCATAAAATGCCCAAATACATATTTGTTCACATGAGAGGAACATCGCTGGTTTAGTTTTCTCATCCAACAAGGAAAAATGAGACTTCTTTACAACCTTAAAGCCAACACTAGCTGCTGAGAGCAACCTTTCAGCCTCTTTCTTCTGGCACCTGCCTCCAAGTGGCTCTCCATCAATGAACCTGGTACTTTTAGAATACTTTCTCAGATCTCCCTGCAGAATCACTTAATGATACCCAGATGTTCAAATGGTGCTTCTAAATGGCACTCAAGTCAATGAATCTTGGTGTCTGTTCTAAGAACCTAGCCACAGCCAGTCTTGATTGCATCACATCTCATGTTGGCATAAACTCCAATATGTAAGAACATTTACTTTCCACCTTGAGAAATTAGCCACACATTGAGTAGGACGACCATATTCCTTTGCTTTGTGAATATGTATTATTTTTAAATGGAGTCTTTTTTCCCTTTCAGGGCAGATCTTGAACCTTCTAGATGAGCTGAAATTGGCTAATAATACCCTCATCTACTTTACATCGGACCAGGGAGCACATGTAGAAGAAGTGTCTTCCAAAGGAGAAATTCATGGCGGAAGTAACGGGATCTATAAAGGTGAGAAATGCTGGTATGGAAGTAACAGGATTTATAAAGGTGAGAAATGCTGGTCTGGCCTCTCAGCTCACCCGCTGGTCACTTTTTTCTTGATTTTAGAGCTTTTCCATAGTTATTCTGCTACTTGACAATAGATAGGACTTCCCTTTTTCATGGAGATTAGACAGTTGGAAGGCCAAAGTGACCATTTCTGTTCTGGTTCCAACAGAATTTAAAAGCCCGTGTCCAGTGTCAAGACATTAGAATGAAAGTATGTATCTCCACATGTAAATATAGCCTCATGTAATGTAACTGATTAAAACAAAAATTCCTCTACCCCTGTCTGTGGATTTCCTGTCACTGCTGTAACAAATTGACACAAACTTAGGAGCTTAAAACAAATTTATGACTTACAGTTCTAGAACTCAGAAGTTCAAAATGGATATCTCACTGGTCTGAAATCAAGATGTCAGTAGGGCCTTCTACAAGCTCTTGGGGGGAATCTATTTCCTTGACTTTTTCAGCTTCTGGGGACTTCCCACTTTCTTTGGCTCATGGCCCCTTCCTTGTTGAAAGCTAACAATTCACTGTCTTCAAACCTCCCTGCCTGTATCCGACAGTTGCTTCCATAATCTCATCTCCTTCACTTACTCTGACACCCCCACCTCCCTTTTATAAGGACCCTTGAAATTATGTTTGGCCCGCTTGGATAATCCCACATCATCTTCACATCTCAAGATCATGAACTTAATCTGCAAGGTCTCTTTTGCCATAGGGTGTAACCTGTTCACAAGTTCCAGGGATTAGGACAAGGGCATCTTTGGGAGACCATTATTCTACCTTTGTGAACCCACAATAGTATTTTGAGCTGACACTTCTTTTCAAAACTTTTTTTTTGCAGTGTTAGCTGAGCCATTTTCATGGTGGATTGTGTATCATGCTAGTCATTGGAGATACTCGATGAGACCCAGCTACTGGCTTATACAGTGTATGCTCTGCCAATATAAGACAGGCATATCTAATGACTAATATATACATTTAGACATATCTGATGTACTTAGACATATCTAATGTTTAATGTCCATATATATTAGACATATCTAGTGTCTAATATATCCATTTCTAATGTCTACCTTATATGACAGATATTACATGACATATAACATGCCCCATTTCATAAAGTGATATGATACCTAAAAGGGTGTATTTGTGCTAAGGGTTAGGACTCCCCAGCCAAATCTGTAGTGGATATGGGTTGAAGGTACAAGAAGAGATGATGCCTTAGCCAAGAGGGGAGGGCAAATCACAGTTTGCCTGCAAAGATATGAACGGGTAATATAGGGAATGCTTTTATCTGTCAAATTGTTTAGAAATATTGATTATCTTCTATGTATCTGGCATTGGGCCCAACACAACAGTAAATATAAAACATGGTGTCTGCCCTGAAGGAAGTCATGTTGAACCAGTGGGTGGGTGGGTAGATGATGGCAATGATGGCATGAAGCCTTGGAAGACTCAGTGCAATTTGAATTCAAGTTCACAGTGAAACATTGTTAAAATATAACACCCTAAAAGGAAGATGGGGTTTCCTTCTAGTTATGGGAAGTAGGTTTCTGGATGTCAAGACATCTTGCATGCACAAGATACTACTGGTACAAGGGAAGAAGAGCCTCACTTGGCTGAGGGGTTCACAGGAATGTTTGCAAAGGAGCCATGGCTAGAAAGGGAGTCACCAGTGGGTCTGTGCATCTGCTCTTACTCTCCTTATATCTCTTTCTGCCCTTCCAACTCCTTGTTCTCTTTTGTCATGCTGGAAATGAGGGGAAGCAGCAAATAGCTTGTTCTGCAAACTACAGGGAGCTTAGTAAGGCCAAATTATACCATGCCTGAGGCAAAGAGAAAGAGTCTACTGTAGTCTGTCCCCTGGGCTGCAGGTAGCTTATGAAGCCTTATGCCTCTGTTTACATCTGTATGTGCACATCTGGAGCCCTATGACAGGCTGAGTACTCAGGGGCAGGAACCATCTCCTATACCTTTTGTTACCTAGCACCTAGCACAAAAAAAATGCCTGTTAGGTACATCTGGATGACCTTCCTAGGCTGCTCAGACCTCCTTCCAGCTCCTTCATTTGGGTCCCATTGTTACCATGCTCAGTGCAGGACACATGATCAATATGTAATGTGGGTTCAATTAATGAACCTGTGTGTTTAACCTGAACAGGAATAACCCCAGTAAGCTATCAGTCTTTCAGCACTTCTCTGTGTGCCATGTTATTTTAAGAGTAGTAAAAAGTGGAAATGTGTCTTTCTAATATATGAAGACTTGGTGTTACCGGGCTGAACTGGGGTCCACTCACCCAGCGCAGTAAGGCCAAATATCCACACCGAGGTTTTGCAATGGGAGAAAAGGAGGTTTATTTTCAGTAGAATGAGGCAGCTCTCACTTAAGTTTCTACTTCCCCAATGGTTTGCAAGCAAAGGTTTTTAAAGGCAGGGAGACGGGGCTACAGGCAAAGGCATAAGTCAATATGTGGAGGTTATACTTTGGTTTGACCTAAAAAGGCAGGATATCCCAAAGAGGGGCACCCATAAGTCATAAATGGATTCAAAGATTCCCTGATTTGCGATTGGTTAAGGAAGTGAAGCTTTATCTGAACACTTGGGGTCAACAAAATCAAACATGATATCTGGTCTGTGGACATGGCTTTCTCCAGGCCCCTTGGGAAGAAATTTGGAATGACAAAGAACGTCAGTCAGAGTTCAGTCCTCAGTTCCTCTTTACCTGGAGCTTAGGTGCCAGCAGATGGCATTTTCCACTTGGTAGGAGTCCACTTTCTGAAAAACAATGCTGGGACATATGTTGAAGTGTTATCTTTAGTTATTATAGGGAACTAAACATTGTATGGCTCTAACTTCCTTGTCTATTACTTTATTCCATGATTACTTTCTTGCTTATCAGTTGCTCATTTACTTTTCAAAGCTAGCTAGGTGCCTGGAATTTTCTTTGAAAGAACTCAAGATTTTTATTTATTTCCATGCCTGGGGGATCCCAGCAGGCCCCTAAGAGGGATCCCTGCTCCATCTCATTGGTGTTTCAGTCTTATTTCCATGAGGCTATAGCCTATGTGGAGAGAGTTGTTTTTATTCCATTTTATAGATGCCAGCATCTCTAAAGACTGGAGCTCCAGGCTGCATTCCACGCTCTAGTTCATCCATTCATTCATTCTCTCCCTTAGTGCCTGTTTAGTTCGAAAATAGCCTAGCAACTGCCGAGGAGGAGATGTGTACATAAATCACAATAATAGAAGTGGTTGGAGAGTAATAGTTACTTAAGAAAGTTACATATGCAAGGCTGTGGAGCCTCAGAGCAGGGAGAGGTGACCCCTGACTGACAATTCCAGGGAGGCTTCATGGGACAGAGAAGGAGAGACATCACATTTTTCACAGATAGTTCACCAGGGCTCAGAGACACAAGAGGTATAGGTCAGAAAGGGAGCCTCAAAGGTCTTGAATGATGATTAGGATCCCCAGTTTTATCATACAACCCTGCAAGCATGTCAGGAGCTACTCCAGGAATTTCCTTTTTTAAATAAATGTATTTGATATATTAGAAATGTTTTGCTTCCATTCTAGAAATACCATGAATGTGTAACACAATGTCTCAGCCACCGCTCTATTGCAAACTATGATTCTTTTGTCAAACTTATTTGAATTCAAGTTCACAGTGACACGTTGTTAAAATACAATGCCCTAAAAGGAAGATGGGGTTTCCTTCTAGTTATGGGAAGTGGGCTTCTGAATGTCAAGACATCTTGTTCTCTAAAGCTGCAAACTCAAGCACACACCTATGGTTTATGCAGACACAGAGTAATCACAGGATTTAACACCTGTTTAAAATAGCGTCCTTTTCTAATGTGGTTTGGCTGGGTCCCCATCAAAATCTCATCTTGAATTATAGCTCCCATAATCCCCACATGTCATGGGAGGCACCCAGTGGGAGGTAATTGAATCATGGGATATGGTCTTTCCTGTGCTGTCCTCATGATAGTGAATAAGTCTCATGAGATCTGATGGTTTTACAAAGGGCAGTTCCCCTGCACACGCTCTCTTGCCTGCTGCCATGTAAGATGTGCCTTTCCTTCTCTGTTACCTCCCGCCATGATTGTGAGGCCCCCTAGGCATGTGGAACGATGAGTCCTTTAAAAATTTTTCTTTATAAATTACCCAGTCTCAGGTATTTGTACACAGCAGTATGAAAATGGACTAATACAAATAGTGAACACTTCTCAGACTTCTCTTTCTTCTGTCTCCTTCTCTCCCTGTGAGTATTTCTTCCCTTTTTCCTAAAATATCATTTCTTAGATGGGACCAGAATAACTTCCTTAAGATTTTCTTTTAGTTGAATTTAGAGTTCTTTGCCTTTTCCTCATACTATAAGATTTCCTGTATTCTTAGAACAGAACAGTTATAGTCCTACGTCTGGCTTCATTTCCATCCCTCTCCCAAGTCAAGGTCACCCTGAAGGAGGCTCTTCCTCCCTCCCTTTTTCTCTGCCTACAGGCAAGTAATAAATGTCAATGGAATGGATAAATTAACTCTATAGATGGCTTCTGCAGAAGTGTGGGGGTGGGAGATCATATTTTCCAGAGTGTTCAAGAATATAGACTATTTTTTCATGTGCAGAGAAATGCTTTTAAAATTCCCTAATGGCTGCATGGAAGGCAGTACTCTTTGGGCATTTTTTTTCCTTACCTTAAGGCCAAATGCCAAACACATGGCCTGAGTCCGTGTCACTTATGAATTGCTTCTTACAGTCACTGATTTTGACATCTCTTTCCTTCATGCAATAACGCAGCTTTCAAAGAGCAATTGATACTTTTATTGTGAGAAAAAAATAGTAGCAACTGGCTGTGGTAGATTATTACAAGGTAGTTAATGTTCAAATGATGTTGGCAATCATTTTCATTGGCTTCCCAAGAGTAGACAAAGCTGCCCTTTCATGCTAGTGTTGGTATTTAGTCC